GGCGGTCTGCTTTCTTTATGGTCCAGCTCTCACTTCCATACATCCCTACTGGAAAACCATAGCTTTGATTATGCGGACCTTTGTTGGTGAGGTGATGACTCTGCTTTTTAAGATGTCTAAGCTCGTCATCGCTTTCCTCTCAAGAAGCAGGCATCTTTTAATTTCCTGGCTGCTGTCACCATCTGCAGTGATCAGGGAGCCCAAGAAAGTAAACGCTGTCACTGTCTCCATATCTTCCCCTTCTATTTGTCAGGAGGTGATGGGACCAGTGCCCATGATCTTCGGTTTTTTTGAGATTAAGCTTCAGACTTTTTTTTTGCACTCTCCTTCTCACTCCTCACTTTCTGCCATCAGAGTGGAATCATCTGCATATTGATATTGATATTTCTTCCAGGAATCTTAACTCTGGCTTGGGATTCCTCCAGTCCAGCCTTTCGCATGATGTATTGTGCATATAAGTTAAATAAGCTGGGGGACAATATACAGTCTTTTCGTACTCCTTTCCCAATTTTGAACCAATCCGTTGTTCCATGACCAGTTCTAACTGTTGCTTCCTGTCCCACATATAGGTTTCTCAGGAGATAGATAAGGTGGTCAGGCACTCCCATTTCTTTAAGGACTTGCCATAGTTTGCTGTGGTCCACACAGTCAAAGGCTTTCGCATAGTCAATGAAGCAGAAGTAGATATTTTTCTGGAACTCTCTGGCTTTCTCCATAATCCAGCGCAAGTTAGCAATTTGGTCTCTCGTTCCTCTGCCCCTTCGGAATCCAGCTTGTACTTCTGGGAGTTCTCGGTCCACATACTGCTGAAGCCTGCCTTGTAGGATTTTGGGCATAACCTTGCTGGCGTGTGAGATGAGTGCAATTGTTCAGTAGTTGGAACATTCTTTGGCACTGCCCTTCCTTGGGATTGGGATGTAGACCGATTGAAGGTAGAAACTAACAACCAGAGCTGGAAGGTTTTGCAAGGAGCAGAGTGATGCTCCGGTGTGGCTGGTAAATGCTGAGCCTCTTTCCTTCCTCCCGACAGCTCATCCAGGGGAGTTTTGTCCTCTTCAACACGCACGTAATTGGACAGGCTGAGAACTTCCAGTACTTGCTGCTCATTATGCTGGTAGGTCTCACCTCTCTGGCCCTGGGCGCTGGGTTGATAGAACGCACCGCAGAGAGGATTCCTGGGCTGGGCTCCCTCGCTTTCCCTCACCAGCCCCTTTCCTGCTTCCAGGCATTGATGACCGATTGGTCTACTGGTGGTGAGGACAGTGACCGGGGAGGAAACATCCCATTTTTTCAACAACAGCTCCCAGAATCCCACGGTCCCTGAGTTATACAGTGGGGTCTCGACTTAAGAACTTCATCCGTATTGGAAGGCAGTTCTCAGGTCGAAAAGTTCTTAAGTCGAATCTGCATTTCCCATAGGAATGCATTGAAAACCATTTAATCCGTATCTGCTCTTTTCGTCCATAGAAACGAATGGGAAGCTGCTATTCCGCCTTCTGCCACTAGAGGGGGATATTTTTTCTTTTTTCCTTTTAACCTAAGATGACTTAGCTTTAAAAAAAAGGGAAAAAAAGAGTTCGTAACTCGAATCTAAGTTCGTAAGTCGAGTCCATATATTCCTATGAGAGCGGTTCGTAAGTCGAAACGTTCGTATGTCAAGCCGTTCGTAAGTCGAGACCCCGCTGTAGTCTGAAAAAGTGAATCAAGGGTGGCGAGCAGGACCTTCTTCATGGTAGCACCCATGCCTGTTTCTGAGAGGCGAACTTGGGACATGGCTCTTGGTGCTCTTGTTGGCTTACCCCACGTCGGTTCACTGTCCAGATCTTTTTGTATGGAATGATTTGACTCTGCTCTTTGGTTAGGCCTGGGCTTGATTTCATTCGGCTTCAGTCTTTGATCATTTTAAAGCTGTCTTGCTGCTTTTCTCTCTTGGGATGATTTAGAACCTGCATATATGATGCCTTTGGGAGGTTGGAGATGATATTGCCAGCTGACATAAATCTAACTATAAAATAAGGGATGGTATATTTGAGGGAGACTTGTAATTATAATAATCTGCTCTGTAGGTCCCTGCCTGGATTTTTTTTTCTCCACTGTATAGCAGGAATTTTTAAAAACATCCCCCCCCACCGCCAATTTCCACACTCTGCCAGTATTATCAGCCTTCCCTTATTGGGTATCCTCCAAGGGGGTGGCGAGGCCATGTTGGCTCAGGATGATGATATCTGTAATCAACATATCTGGAAAGGGATGTGTTAGGGTGGCTGCTTTTATCATCATATTTTATATATCTTTTTCATTTTGGCTTCTTTTGTTTTAGAAAAAATATGGTTTAAAATTGAAAGATGGACTAAAAAAATCCAAATAGACGTAACCTTACACAACCGAACCTTGTTGTGATGAGAAGTCCGCAAACACACCGGGATCTGACGTGGTCGTTCTGCTTACCTCTCTCGCCTTTCTTAGGGGGTGGCCTGTGTCTCCATCTACCTCTGGCAGTGTTTTCTGGAAAGATTTGGGAAGAAGACGACCGTCTACGTAGGACTATTGGTAAGCCTTTTTTCCCCAAAGGGTCTGTCCTTTTTCTTGGTGAAATACCTGGAAATGAGTCGTCTTTGCCTTCCCCTTTCTCACTCCGAGAGGGGGGGAAAGTTGCTTTCTGCAGCTCGCGATTCCCAGCATGTTGTTTAAATAGCCGTCTTGTCCAGGAATGATTTAAAGATAATAAACAACAAGGAAGAAGGTTGGAGATCTTGACATTGTCCATCGATCCCTAATATCTGCTCAGCTGACACACAGGTTGCCTGTTTATCATTCGCCCGTCAGGTGAGATGCTTAGCAATTTCTGTAGAAAACCATCTCCTTCCTAAGTTTGCATCCGTACATACATATAATATAGCGAGTTAATGGGTTTGAATCCTTGTGTTATTTTGGCTCCTTTTTTCTACTTCCGGGGTGCACACGCAGCTCACACATAATGTGACGCTTTTCACACTCTCCACTGCTGTTCTCCGCTGGGCATCCTGCCAGGGGAAAGGAAGATCTGAGCGCCTTTCCAATCTATTGCTACACAAATTAAATGTACTATAGATATGAAAAGGGCCAGATGACTCATGTTTTCCATTTACGACAGCCTCGTAAGGTAGGCCATCTTACTCCCACTTTGCAGACAGTAAACTGAAGCAGAGTTAGCGAGATTTCAGAGAGATGGAACAGAATTTTCAGTTCTTCTTTATTTGGTTTGATTATAAGGGATTTGCTGGGGTCCGCATTGAAGCTATCCTTTAAAAAGCCACTTCTCTTCAAGAAAACCACTCATTAGAAAATCTTTAAGAAAACTTTAAAAATACATACAGTGTAGAAAAATGTACTTCTCCGTTGGGGTTTCTCTTCTGGAGATTTTTGTCTGCGTGGTTGTATGCGAATTGAAAGGTTCTGAAAGCGAAGGTCTCACTGGACATCAGCTTCAAATGGGGAGTACCTCCTGGAACAAAACGGTACTAAAAATAAACCACAGTCTCAGGAGGGACAAAAAGGTACGGAAAGTCAGAGGGAAAGTCACTGCACCAAGCAAGACAAGAGGAACGTCTTACGGATGGCAGGAAAAATGCTGGTAACACCTGTGTAGAAACCAGTACATTAAAGAGGACAACTGGTCTGTCTGGAAGAGCTCTCCGTCTATTTCAACATAAACAAAAACAAAAAGAAAAGTTTGTGTCACTTGAAAGGCCAACAGGTTTAGCTCTGTGTAATCTTTCGTACATTACGGTCCACTTTTTAAGACACTGCTAAAAGTTTGAAACAGAGCCAGAGACGTGTCCAAGGCCCCAGTGAGCGAGTGAGCGGCAGAGGTGAACTTGTGAGCTGATGACTTTGTCTGTTTCCTGGTGTGACAGAATTGCTTAATTGTAAATACAAAGCGACCAGTCACAACCTTACAAAAGGTCTTTGAAAACACTAGTCAAATCACACAAATTTGACCTTCCTGGAAAAGCCCTCTGCTGCAGTTCTGGAGCTGGCAGCTCGTTTTTGCAGCTGCCCCCCTGCTCCACCCGGGAATGATGACTGTGAAGACCGCATTTCCGACATCGAGGTAGCCATGAGGGCTTGGCAGAGAGGACAGGCAGGTCGGCACAGGGTTTGCCAAGAGCAGGAGGCAGGGCAGAGAGGGGAGGAAGAGAACCAGGCTCTGTGTGTGGCAAGACGGCTAGGCTTCTGCCGGGAGCCAGATGGAGGCAGGATTGGCCCGGCTCGGTTTGTTCCCAGTGTGGATGGGGAGACGCCCAGATAAGTTGCAGAGGGGAAGAATGGAATCTGGCTGACCTCCTGCTTTGAGCAGGAAAGCCAGTTGGAAGGATTTGAGCGCAGGACGAATTGCAGTGGAATGGAGAGCCAAGAACGGGTGTCATCCGCCTGGCACACAGAACTCGTTTCCCCCTTCCCCCTGCTCCACCCAGGTTATGTAGATGTACACACACACACACAAGTATTGTATGCTTCTGCACTAAGACAAGCACTGTGGTGTAGTGGATAGGGGAGGGACAGTCCATGACTCAGGGGTCCTGGGTTCTAATCTCCCTTGGTGGCGGCGGGTGGAACTGGTAAAACCACACTTTAAGTATCTCACTTGAAAACTCTTTTAGAGTCGTTATAAGTCGAATTATGACATGGTGGCACATCATACATACAGAGAGACAAACACAGATGAAAATCAGGTCCAAGATCATCCAAGGGTTTACCCTGTCGGACCACCTCCATACATTTAATAAAGTTAAAACCAATTGGCTTAATTTGCAAGGGACTGATCTGAAACTGGGAGGGAGGGAGGGAACAATCAACAAATAGGCAGGGTGCCTCCCTGCTCCATTTTTTCCAGATCTACAGACAGATTGGTATTTTTAAGCTTCCTTCCTCCTTCTCTCTCTCAGGCCACTGCCTGTTTCTTCCTTCGCCTCCATTTTTTAAGTTTCAGAGGCAGACCAGCTCACATAGAACTCAGCTTTAGGGACTTTTGTAACCATGTTTAGGAATCAATCCTCCTATATTATCCCTAAATGGATTTCCTATTTAATAAATTGTAAGTCCCCCCTACTCTTCTGCCTTCTAGTTCCCCATTTAGCTGTTACCGATTTCTGGTAAATACTGAACACAACCTCCTTTTGGGGGGAGAAAGGCAGCTTATAAAGGAGATGAAACTAATAAAAGAAATGCATCTAAACACATCCTCTACGGCGCCTTCTCTTCTCTTCCATGGCAACACGTAGCAGGCTAGAAGATGTGACACGATGCCATGGCAGCTTTCTTGCGCCCACCCTGGCTTCGTGGACTGTCTGTGAGGATGCTACGTCATGTGCGTTTTAATCTTGTGGATGCTGAGCCAAAGAAGGACTGGTGACAAATGCATGGTATTGGAATCAGCCGATTCCAGAGCCACCCGTGTTATGTGGCTACGTCAAGGCAGAAAACATGGGGGCCTTCTAAATTCTGTTAGACAACAGCTCCCATCTGTCCTAGTCAGCATTGCCAGTGGCAGAGAATGATGGGACTTGTAGTCCAGCAACATGGGGGGGGGTGAGCTCCTTATATTTTCCTTTCCTGGCCTCCCTTCATTTTCTGCCTCCAGCCCTGAGCGAGTTTAGAGGTGAATCCCACTCACCTGAACTTTCTTCAGGTGTGTGCAGGTGGACAAGTTCCTTGTTAGGCTGTCAGATCCCAGAATCCCTGCCTAGTATGTTCATTTCTTTGCCGAAGGGTTTTAAAAAAAAGGTGTTATGCACGGAGGAGGAGGATGCTAGGAGCAAAACCAGAGGCTTGCAAATGCTGGGTGGAGGCATCTCTCACCGGGCTCTTTTTCCCCCGCCACCCCCACCCTCTTCTCTGCTGCAGCCAATGATCCCCGTCCTCACTGTCCTCAGATGCTAGGAGCAAAACCAGAGGCTTGCAAATGCTGGGTGGAGGCATCTCTCACCGCCACCCCCCACCCTCTTCTCTGCTGCAGCCAATGATCCCCGTCCTCACTGTCCTCACCTTGGGTACTCACGGCTTCCTGGTCTACGTCCTGCTGGTCGCCGTGGCAGGGAGCAGCCTCGCCATCCTCTACTTGTTGCCGTGGTGAGTGGAAGGGAAGTTCTGAACAATAACCGGTTCGCCGGCCAAGGGTGTGGGTCCGAGCGGGAGCTTCCGGCCGGCGGTCCTCTGGCGGGTGCCCAACCCTGGCAAGGGGGAATGGTTGTCGAAAGCCTTCTGCGTTCGTGAAATGCAAACACACACACACACACATACAGAGAGAGGAAGAGGGTTGGCAGGTATCTCCACCATCGGCTGAGGTATTGGGGAACAGCTGTAGCCTTTTGGATTCTTGGGGGTGAAGTGGCTTTAAGGCCCTGGCCAGCCATCGCTACCCATTCCCAGTTAACGCCAGGGCTCACTTGTTGTTGTTTAGTCGTTAAGTCGTGTC